GTCATCGTGACGGGCATGGCGGTCCAGGCCTACTGTGGCGCGACCTGGTCGGGACAGGCTTGGCCTGCGGCGGTGGAGGCGCGCCTGAATGACGCGGAGAAGCTGCAGCGCAACCAGAGGCCCTGGGCGGCGGTCCGCGACCCGATCGGGGCCCTGGTGCCCGCCCTGCAGCGCATAGGGTGGCGGCTCACCGCGGACGGCGCGCGGCTCCGAGACGAGCAGGGTTGCGAATTCGACGTCGTCACGTTCTCGCCCTCGTTCTTGCGGGGAGGGCCACGGAGGCGATTCGGAAGGCGGTGGCCATTGCGGGGGCTAGAGCCCGCCCTGGGTCGCTCCGGCCTTAGAGGCTGCCGCCCGCATGGAAGCCCGTCAACGAGCTTCTGGGCCGAGCAGTGTCCGAGAGCTGGGCTAGCCATGACAAGGGCTGCCTGCGCTGGCTGGCATCGCTGGCGCTCTGGCCGCAGGCGCGGCTTGCGCGGCGCAGCGAGGGCATCGGGCCGCAGTGCCTGCTGCGCCGGGCCCCCGAGGCCACGGTCCACCACCGCCACTTCGAGCGCCCCGCCTGGCAGGCCTGGAAGAGAGATCGGCTGCCGCCCGGGCTGCTGGCAGCGGCGGAGGAAGCCGACAGCATGGGCCCCCCTTCGGCGTGCTCTTCGCCCAGGGCCTCTTCGCGGGCGACTCCTTGCTGCTCCAGCGGGCCCGCTGGCAGTCGGCTGCCGCGTGGGCTGCTGGCAGCGGCGGCGGTGGCCAACAGCATGGGCCCCCCTTCGGCGAGCTTTTCGCCCATGGCCTCTTCGCGGACGCCTCCTTGCTGCTCCAGCGGCCCCGCTGGCAGGCGCATTGGGAGTGGTGCCGAGCCGGCTGGGAGAACCTCATGGCGGTGGAGGACGGGGCGCCGGTGTTCGCCGACGGCTTCTGCGTGCACGGGGGCTACCCCACGCTGCGCTGCGCTGATTGGTCGGTCATCGTGATCCCGACCAGCGGTCAGCTGCTGGCCCAAGCGTGGGGGGGCGGTCCCGCCCGAGCTGCTGCCCAGCCAGTCGGCGCGTGCAGGCGGGGACTGCGCGGCGGTGCTGGCGCTCGCGCAGATCGTCGGGCGTTTCGCCTTGCTCTGCGACTGCAATGGCATTGTGGACTGTATCAGGAACCTTTCCAGGGCCCGAGGTCCCACGTCGCCCCATGCCCACCTCTGGGCCAGAGTGGGAGACTTGGCAGAAGGGATCGTGGCGAAGCACATGCCCGCCCACACCTCGGAGGCGGCGGTCTACAGGGGCAAGATCACAGCCTGGGAGCGCGAGGGCAACATGATTGCCGACGAGCGGGCCAGGGCGGGCGCGGCGCTGCAGGCGCCGCCCGACGAGCACTTCCTAGTGCTGGAAGGGCTGCTGGCACGCGCCCGAGAGGCCTGCCGCTTCACAGCCGAGATCGAGGCCCACATCTCAGACCAGGGGCGCCGCGACTGCTGGCCGATGGATGCCCTGGAGGACATCGACCTGGGCTGCTTCGAGGATGGCGCGTCGGGCGCGGCGGAAGCCAGCGCGGCGCGCAGCGGCGCGGGGCGTGCAGCGGCTGCTGGGGCAGCGGCGGCGCTTGTGGCTGCCGCGGCCTGCAGCGCGGCCCCCCGCTCGGCCAGCGCCCCCTCTACCCCGGGAGGCGGCGGGGCGACGGCCGCGCGCGAGCGCCCCGCTGCGGCCCCGCCCGCCAGCCCGCCCGAGCCCCCGCTGGCGCCTGGCGGCGAGCCAGCGGGCGAGGCCTTGCGGCGGGTAGCCCGCAGGCTGCAGCGAAAGCGAGCGCTGGATCACATTGTGTTGCCGCCGCCCGCGGCCCAGGAGCCGAACCTGGCGGCTGAAGCGGGGGGCCCGCGACCATGGGCGGTCCACGGGCACCAGCTTTTGGAGGGCCAGTTGCTCAACCAGACGTCAGAGCCCCTCCTCGTGCGCACGGCGTGCTACAAGTGCGCCAGGGCGCCGGGGGCGGCCCGGCATGGGCTTCGTGACCAGCGCCACGGAGTGGAGCATCGGGCCACGAAGCGTTCGCGCGCCCAGGCGAGGCGTGACCTGGGCAGACGGACCTGGGCAGACGGACCCTCGCAGGCACGAAGGGGGCGATCGGCGATCTCCGACCGCCGACGGCGGCCGCGCGGGCGCGCTGGGCGGCGCAGCTCAGAGTCGCCGGCGGCGCCGAGCTGGAGGAAGGTGGCGGAGGCGATGCTGGCGCGCCCATGGGGCTCGGTGCCGCGGGCGCATTGCCTGGCCCAGGTGCGGGCGCCGCGGCGGCTGGCATGCTGATCCTGCCGCCTATGGAGAGCGTGGCGCGGGCGCGCGGCTTCGGCTCCTCGGCGGCTGCTGGGGGCCGAGCGGCCCGCGCCGAGCGCGCCGCGGCGGCGCGCGGGGGCCGCGGGCCCCGGGAGGCCAAGCGCAGCCTGTTTTGAGGTGCTCGCTCCTGGGGGGCCCGCCCGCGCCGTGCATTTCGAATGCAAATAAGGGCGATTGCGCCCGCGAGGCCCGACGCACAAGTATGAGAGCGCGCCAGTGGATGGCCCTGAATACATTAAAAGGGGCGCGCTCGCAGACCCCCCCCCCGCCCCCCTCCCCCCTTTCACAGCGGGGGTGGGATTTTCGACCCCCCCCCCTGGCGCTGGAAAGGGGAGGGGGGGTCGAACCCCCGCCCCCGCCCTCCCCTTTTTGCGCCGGACAAGGGCTGAGGAGGGGGCCTCTCGGGTAGTGAATAGAGAGTTGAATGGTTTGAGTAGCGATTGGTGAGTAGTGGGTTTTTGATCGTGAGGAGTCGTGAGTGGTGAGTAGTGAGTACTGGGTAATGGGTAGTGGTAGTAGTGCGTAGCGCGTAGAGAGTAGTGAGTAGTGAGTAGTGAGTAGTAGGTAGCAGGTAGTGGGAGCGAAGTAGTCAGTAAGGAATTGTGAGTACTGAGTAGTGCGGAGTTGTAGTATGTAGTGGGTCGTGTATAGTGAGTAGTAGGCAGGGGGTAGGGATGAGGGAGCAGACAGTAGCGAATATCGAGGAGTGGGTAGTGAGTAGTGAGTAGTGCGCAGTGAGTAGTGAGTAGTGAGTGGTGAGTAGCGAGTAGGGAGTAGCGAGTAGGGGTAGCGAGTAGTGAGTAGCGAGTAGCGAGTAGGGCGGTGTGGGTAGTGAATAGTGAGGAGGCGGTAGTCAGGAACCAGTAGTGAGTAGTGAGTAGGGAGTAGTGCGTTGTGAGCAGGGAGTAGCGAGTAGTGAGTAATGAACAGTTAGTTGTGAGTAGTGAGTTGGGAATAGTGAGTAGTGAGAAGCGAGAAGTGGGTAGTCGGTATTGAGTGGGGAGTAGCGAGAAGTGGTAGTCGTGAGTAGTGAGCAGTGAGTAGTGAGGAGCGACTTGCGACTAGTGACTTGTGACTAGTAAAAAGGGAGTAGTGAGTAGCGAGTAGTGCGTAGTTGGTAGTGAATATGTCCTATTGGGTAGCGAGTAGTGGATTGTGAGTAGTGAGGTCTGCGCAGTGCGTAGTGAGTAGTGAATTGTGAGTTCTCAGCAGGAAGTGGTGGTTAGTTGGTAGTGAGTAATGCTTCGTGAGTAGTGAGTACTGGGCAGTGAGTAGTGTTTAGTGAGTAGTGAGTATTGAGTACTGGGTAGTGAGTAGTGAATAGTGAGCTGGGAGTAGTGAGTACGGAATAGGAAGTAGTGAGTAGTGAATAGTGGGGACGTAGTGACTAGTGAGTAGTGGGTAGTGAATAGTGCGGGTTTGGTAGCGAAGTGGGCGTAGGGAGTAGCGAGTAATGAGTAGTGAGTTGTGAGTATTGTGTAGGGAGTGGCGAGTGGAGAGTAGTGGATAGTGGGTATTAAATTGTGGGCAGTGAGTAGTGAGTAGTGAAGTGTGAGTAGTGAGAAGTGGATAGCGGTTAGTGGGTAGTGAGTAGTGATTTGTGATTAGCGAGGCGAGTAGTGGGTAGTGAGTTGTGTCTAGAGAGTAGTGTGTATTGAGTAGTGGGTAGTGAGTAGTGAGTAGTTTGTAGTGAGTAGTGAGTAGTGGGTAGGGAGCAGGGAGTAGTGAGTAGTGCGTCGTGGGTAGTGAGTCGTGGGTAGTGAGTAGTGAGTCGTGAGTAGTGAGTAGGCCAGTGAGTAGTGAGTAGCGAGTACTGAATTGTGGGTAGTGAGTAGTGCGTAGTGAGTAGTAACCACTGTTTGGGGCTGGAGTTTTGGTGTGGGGTTAGGGTTAGGGGTTAGGGCAAGGGTGAGGATTAATGTTCGGGGCGGGGTCGGGTTCCGGAGACCGGGGGCGCCGTGGCGAAACAGGGGGGGCGGGTCGAATTTGGCGGCCAAAGGGGGGGAGGGGGGGAGGAGGACCCCCCCCCCTTTTGAAAGGAAGAGGGGGGGGGGGTCTCCGACGACGGACCGGGAAAGGGAGCGAGTGGGGGGGGGGCCCGACGACGGATCGGTCGGGAAAGGGGGGCGGGGGGGGGGTCCCCGACGACGGAGCGGGGAAAGGGGGGAGGGGAACCCCCCCCCTTGGGGTCATCCAGCGGCGCGCCCTCCAAAAAAATACCCTCACCGTATCTCCTCCTTCCTCCTTCATCCTCCCTCCGTCCTCCCTTCTCGTCTTCCCTACCCTTCATCCCCCCTCGTCGTCGTCGAGTCCCCCCCCCCCCCCCCCTTTCCGCCTCCCTCCTCCCGCCTCTCTCCCGCCTCCGCATTCCCCTCTCCTGCCTCCTCCTCCCTTCTTCCTTCCTAGTCTATCTCATCATTCATCCTTCGTCCAACCCTCCCTCCCTCTCCCCATCGGGGCTCCACAGGGCAGCGTGCAAGGGTCTCCGTTGGCGCGCTTGGGGCTCCTGTAGGCTATGTTTGGGGCCCGAGTGGGCAGCGTGCCGGGGCCCCCGTGGGCTCGCTTCGCTCGGGGCGTCTGTGGGCTGTGTCTGGGATTCGGAGGGCAGCGTTTTGGGGCCTCCGTGGGCGCGATGGGGGCCCCCGTGGTCTGTGCCTGCCCCCCCCCCCTCCCGCGACGGCGCAGGAACAGCGCCAGTGCCCCTGCCCGCCTGCGCGGGCTCTCGGGAGCTCCGGCGAGCTCTCGCTGCCCGCGCACGGCATCTACCAAGAGGAGCCCCCGCGGACGACGACGACGACGACGGCGACGGCGACGGCGACCACGACGACGACGACGACGACGACGGCGACGACGACGACGACGACGTCGACGACAGCGACGTCGACGACGTCGACGACAGCGACGTCGACGACGCTTTCGTCAGGGCGCGCGTCAATGCCGAGCCACCGCCGACGCGCTGGCCGACGGCCGCCGAAGTTCAACCTGCCCGCGCAGGCTTTCGACCCCCGCCGCACGCCGAGGTGGCGCTCGGGGCGCAGGCACCGCATGACGCGGAGGGGGGCGCTCCGAGCCAGCCCCGAACCCGCCGCCACCAGGGCCCCCTCGGGAGTGCCGCCCCTGCCCTCGCCAGGCCCGCCCCACGGCCCCCCCGCCTCCGCCTTCTTCGCTCGCTTGCCCTCCGGCACCGCCGCCGTATTCGGCCTCCCCGGGGGATCCGCCCTCACCACCCCTGCCCCGACGAGGTCCGCGACGGTGCCATCCGTCGTGTCGCCTCCGTCCGCGGCCTCCTGGGCCCTGCTCTCGAGCTGGGGGCCGCTTCCAATGGACGACGTCCTGCATTCCCTTGCTCTTTCAGCTGCCTCCCAGCCTCCTGCCTTGCAGCGTCGATTATGTCCGGCACCTCGCTGCTGGCCTCGCACTTGTCCTTTCGTCGCCGCCGCTCGCCCCCGCTCGCCTGCTCCTGCTGCCCGATGCCGAGGCAGAACCTTTCCAGCCCCACTTCTGGCTCCTGGCCAGCTTCGTGCCATGCATCGGCAGCCTCGCTCACGTCCTGCCCGAGCTCCTGCAGGTGGCGGGGCACCTCGGCACTCCTCTCATTCGCCACCTGGGCGGTTTCGCTCTTGGCCACCTGGTCCTGGGCGCCGTCCGCGCCCTTCTCGAGGGCCAGACGAGCTCGAGCCTCGCCTACAGCGACGCCCCCCAGGGCAGCGCTTGCCAGCTCAGCCGCCTCACGCTCGGCGAGGCAAGCAGCACGTCGTCCGACTCCGCGTCCTGCGTATCCTCCTTGTTCTTCTTGCCCGTCTTCCCCTTCAGAGCAGGGGCCGCCGCAGGCTGCGGCGAGAGCGCAACCGCCGCCCGCGCCGCCCGCGCAGCGCGCCGCCGCAGCCGCCCGCCGCCCTAGCCAGCCGCGCCAGCACTGCTGCACCACTCCAGCAGCGAGGGCCCGTGCAGCGTCCGCCCGACGCACGGCCTCGGCCGAGGCCCAAGCCTCTGCCGAGCGTGCCGCGATCTCCTGCGCCGCCTCCCAGCGCGCCGCCCTTGTCGTCGCCATCCTTGAAGCTCTTGCGCTTCTGGTCTGAGGGGCGCACGACCTCTACCAGCCGCTCCTGCAACTGGTTCTGGGCCGCAGCGTTGCCCTCCGTCCTCTTGCCCCCCCCACGGCCTTCGGCATCCGATCCGCGGCCCCGCGCCGCGCACCTGCACCTCATCCGCGCGGCCGTCCTTGGGCATCACCAGCTTCTTGGCCTCGCTGCCGTCGTCGTCGTTCGCGAGCTCCTGGCTCGGCTGCCCTGCGCCCCGTAGCAGGCGGAGCAGCTCCTTGCCCTGCTGGGCCCCGGACGCGCCGTCCAGGCTCCCGGAGCCTCCCGGACGAGGAGGAGGAGGAGCAGGAGGAGGAGGAGGAGGAGCAGGAGGAGGAGGAGGAGTTGGAGCCCTCGAGACCCGCAGCAACCCCATCCACCCACTGGTGCAGCACCACTGCGATGACCGCCGGCTGCACCCAGACCACCGCGCCGCAGCCGCACCGGCAGCCTCCGCCAGGGAGGCCCGCCGCCATCGCCATGCCGCCGCCCTTCACCGCGGGCTCCGACCGCTGCCCGCCATCGCGCCCTGCTGCGGGTGCTAGGTCCCAGCTGGAGCAAACCCTCCTTGGCCCTCCAGCTAGAAATTCGACGACGACGATGACGACGACGACGACGACGGCGGTGGCGGCGGCGACGTCGACTACGACGACGAGGACGACGACGAGGACGTCGACGACGACGAGGACTACGTCGACGGCGACAATGACGACGACGACGTTGACGACGACGACGACGGCGGCGGCGGCGGCGACGGTGGCGGCGGCGGTGGCGGCGGCGCCGTCGACTACGACGACGAGGACGACGACGAGGGCGTCCGCGACGGCATCATTAGCGATGCTGGCGACGACGGGGGCGACCACGACGACGAGGGCGATGACAGCGAGAGCGAGAGCGAGGCCGAGGAGGGCAACGAGTGCAAGGGGCGATAGCGGGTAGGGAAGGGGCGGTGACGGCGAGGGCGAGGAGGAGGGTAGGAGGAGGTGATGGAGGAGGACTATGAGATGAAAAGAAGGAGGAAGAGGAGAGGACGACCATATGATGATGTTGATGCTGATGTTGATGATGGTGTTGATGATGGTGGTGATGATGCTGCTGATGATGCTGATGACGATGGTAATGATGATGGTGATACTGATGCCACTGATGTGCATGGTGATGATGATGCTGCTGATGGTAGCGATGATGATGTTGAGGATGACGATGTTGTTGATGATGCTGAACATGCTGCTTCTGATGGTGATGATGATGGCGGCGGTGATGATGCTGATGATGCTGATGATTATGATGCTTTGGTGGTGGGGATGGTAATGATGATGATGGTGGTGATGATGATGGTTTTGCTATTGGTTGTGATGATGCTGATGATGATGAGGATTTTGATGACGCTGATGATGATGATGATGATGATGATGATGAGGACGATTATGGTGATGGTGATGGCGGTGATGATGGTAATGAGGATGTGGATGCCGATGCTGCTGACGATAATGGTGATGATGCTGCTGATGATGTTGATGCTGATGCTGATGATCACCATGCTCATGCTAATTGCACGTATGATGTTGATGTTGTTGCTGATGATGCTGATGATGATGACGATGATCATGAGTCTGATTATGATGATGATGAGACTGATGCCACTGATGTGCATGGTGATGATGATGCTGTTGATGGTGATGATGGTGATGATGGTGATGATGATGATGATGATGATGATGATGATGATGATGATGATGATGATGATGATGATGATGATGATGATGATGATGATGATGATGATGATTGTGTCGATGTTGCTGATGATGCTGGTGATGGTGATCAGTGCCATAAGGATGGTGCGGAGGAGAAGGCATACGGGAGAAGGACCAGGAGGAGGATGAGGAGGAGGAGGAAGATAAATAGCGCAGGACGGTGTGGACAACTGGGGCGACAGCTGAGGAGGAAGAGGAGCAGGAGGCGGCGTCCAAGTTTTGAGGATGAGATGAGGAGGATGAAGAGAGCGATGTGGAAGGGAAGACGGGGAGGAAGTGTAGGGGGATGACGGGGAGGACGAGGAAGACTTTGGGGAGAGATGTTGGACGAGAGGGAAGAGGACGAGAAGCGCGAGTAGCGCGGAGGAGTGATGATGAGGATGTGTGTGTGTGTGTGTGTGTGTGCGTGGGTGGGGGAGGGGGGAGACGAACGGGGATGGCAAGCAGATGGAAGGGCATAGTTTGAAGCAGAATCGTATGGATGGCCGCATGAGGAGTAGGAGGAGTGGTGAAGGATGAGGTGGAATGTGACAATGATGTGAAGGGGGAGCGAGAGAAAGAGAGAGAGAGAGAGAGAGAGAAAGAGAGAGAAAGAGAGAGAAAGAAAGAGAGAGAGGGATAGAGAGCGGCACGCGCCACACACATATATGTGTGTATGTTTGTATAACATATATACATGTACAGACAGAGCGAGAGAGAGAGAGAGAGAGAAAAAAAACAAGCGAGAGAGAGAGAGAGAGATATAGAAAAACAAAAAAACTTCAGCGGGTGAGGATGAACACGAGAGGAAGACGACGAGAAGGACGAGGGGGAACAGGGTGGAGGAGGGAGGAGCAGGAAGATAGGATACGGGAGGATATCAACGAAGCGAAAGAGTGAACTGTCAGAATGATGAGGAGGAGGAGAAGGAGACGAAGGAGGATGAAAGATAGAGGAGGATGATGAAACACAATGGATGAAGAGGCAAGGAGTAGAAGCAGGAGCCGGTGCTGCAGAAGGATATGTGCTTGAGGGTGAGATGGTACGGATAATATTTTGCGATGGAGGTAAGATTGGTAGAGGGAGGACCTGGACGAGAACGAATGCGAATGGACGGGATAGCGCTTGGACGATGACGCGGGCGAGGACCACGACAAGACAAAGGCGAAGAGGAACGGGGGAGGGGGATGAGGAAGAGGAGGAGAAGGATGGGAGGAGGTTAAGGAGGATGAGGAGGAGAGGAGGAGGAGGAGGAGGAGGAGGAGGAGGATGTGGAAGTGGAGGTTGGGGAAGGCGTGGGGAGAAAGAAAAGGAGATGGAGGTGGACGAGGAGGTGGAGGAGGAGGAGGAGGAGGGACATAATTGAAGAAGAGGGGCGAGAAGAGCGCGCTGGAGGATGAGCAGCAGGGGGAGTGACAGGAGGGAGGAAGGATGAAGGAATGAGGAGGCGATGGATGTAGCAAGAGACCGGAGCCTGGCCCGGCCGGTTTGGAGAGGGACGGTGGCAGGACGTGACCGGGGCGGCTCCGCGGTGCCCTCAAAGTGGCCCGAGATGGCCCCGAGGCAGCCAGCAATGGCGCCAATGCGGGTCGAGATGCCCACAGGGTGGCGCACGACGGCCCAAGGCAGCCCCGATGAGGGCGAGCACGGCCCCAAGAAGCCGCCCTGGGACCCCAGGAGGCCCCCAAGAGGCCAACGTCTTAGAAGCGCGTACAGCCAACCCGCAAAGTGAGGATGGGCAACCTTCCCAAGGATACCCTTGCAACCTTGCCTCCTCGACCCATCCTTCGCCACTTTCGTTGGCCGCGCCCCGCTCGAGAAGCTTCGCAATGGCCTTCCAAGGCCCTTGCGTCCTTATCGCGCATCCTTACGATACGGGTTGACTGCAGTGTTCGTCCATGTTGTGGGCTTCCTCGAATCTTCGCTTCCTCAATGCTTCTGCGGCCTCACAGTGGCCTTCTGCAGGCCCAGGATAATTCCAAGAGGAGTCCACGAGGGCCCCCGAACAGATCCCAAACCGCTCAAGGACTCCCCAAGGCGGCCCCAAGATGGATCTCAGACGTCCAGGATGGCCTCAACAAGGCCCATGACGGCCCCAAAACGACCCAAGCTGGCCTCAAGACGATCTCAGCTGGACACATGTCGGCCCAAGTGGAGACCTGCACCCCAGTGTGACTGGCAACATGCCGCAACGAAACAAATGACGGGCCAGCAGACGCGAGCTCTGACAACCGTCACAAAGTTGACGCCTCCCACAAACGCCCTGCCTGTTGCCATTCCTCACTATCCCTATGGCTCCACCAGCCCCTGGGGACTGACTCGGGCAACCGTCTGTCCATGCCCGACACTCCGAGAATTCTCGAGAACCCGGAGGACCCCGACGAGTCGGCGGTGCGGTGTACGCGGTGTACGCCGCAGAATGAGATGCGTACTCGTACAAGGAGCGAGGGCTACGATGAAGAGGGGCGAGCCTGAGAAAGAAAAGGAGGTGGTAAAGCAGGAGGAGAATGAGGAGGAGGAGGAGGAGGAGGAGGAGGAGAAGGAGGGAGGAGGGAGCAGAAGGAGGAGGAGGAGGAAGAAGAGGAGCCGGGGAACAAACGAGGAGGAGGAGGAGAAGGAGAAGTTGGAGGAAAAGGAGGAGGAGGAGGAGGAGGAGGAGAGGAGGAGGAAGGAGGAGGGAGGAGGGAGCAGATGGAGATGGAGGAGGAGGAGGAGGAGGCGAAGCAGGAGGAGGAGATGGAAAAGGAGGAGCCGGGAACAAAAACGAGGAGCAAGAGGAGAAGGAGAAGTTGGAGGAATAGGAGGAGGAGGAGGAGGAGGAGAAGGAGGAGGAGGGGCAGGAGGAGGAGGAGGAGGAAGCGGAGGAGGAGGAGAGGAGGAGGAGCAGGAGGAGGAGGAGGAGGGAGAGCATGAGGAGGAGGAGGAGGCATGAGGAGGAGGAAGGAGGAGGAGGCGGAGGAGGAGGAGGAGGAGGAGGAGGAGGAGAGAGGAGGAGGAGGAGGAGGAGGAGGAGGAGGAGGAGGAGGAGGAGGAGGGGGAGCAGGAGGCGGAGCAGGAAGGGGAGCAGGAAGACGGAGCAGGAGCAGCAGCAGGAGGCGGAGCATGAGCAGGAGCAGGACAATGACAAGGACGAGGACGAGGAGGATGAGTATGATAGGGAGAAGATGAGCAGGTGGAGGGAGATGATGAGGAGGAGGAAGAGGAGGAGGAGGAGGAGGAGGAGGAGGAGGAGGAGGAGTTGGAGGAGGAGGAGGAGGAGGAGGAGGAGGAGCAGGAGCAGGAGCAGGAGCAGGAGCAGGAGCAGGAGCAGGAGCAGGAGGAGTAGGGGGAGCAGGTGGACGAGGAGGTCGAGGGACCCGAGGTGCCAAGGGAGGAAAGGAGGAAGGAAGAGGAGGAAGGGCCCGAGGTGCCAAGGGACCCGCTGGAGCTCGCGCCGCTGCGGGAGCCGTCCTGGGCCTGACGGGCGTTCGGCGCCGATGCTGCGCTCCCGGCGGCGCGGCGCGGCGGGCGAGGCGAGGTCATCGTCACCAGTTAGAGGAGGAAGAGGTACCCAGACATCTGATTTCTCGAGTTTTTCGAGACGCGGCCCCCCGATCTCCCGACCACTTCCCCGGAACCGGTTTTCCATCCCGAGTCGTTTTTTGACGGTCCCGAGGCCCGGTCAGGGCCCCGAGAGGCCGAAAATCTGGAAAAACCTCCGTGCAGGTTTTGGTCGAGACGCCCGATGTCTAGGCACGTGCTCACATTGCACTGCAAGCCTTCCCTCCTGTTCTTTTCTATGGGAGGCTCCAGACGTGGCAGTTTTCGGGCTCGCCGGCGGCCTCCGCGGGGTCTCGGCCAGGCCTTCGGCGGCGCGCGCGCTCGGCAGGCCTCGGAGCGGGCACTGAGGGCACGCCCGCCCGGACAAGGCGCCCGAGGAAAGTTGCACTTCAGATGAGGAACAGGTGCCCGGTGCTGCCATCTTTCCCTCGCTGTCCCTTTTTTGGGGGCCTCCCGGGATGCCCTCGTCGCCACCGCGGAGTTCGCCTCGAAATCCTGGTCAGAACGCACCCCTGGAGGGTTCCGGGGAGCAGCGGTATCGGTGCCGCTTGGTTTCCCGAACCAGCCGCGTCTTTTCCTGAGATCCAGGCGCGTTGCAACCTCTTCGCGGCCGGCGTTGCCGCCCAGGTTCGGGCCTCCCGGGGGCCACCACAGCTGGACGCAGCTCGAAACATGCAGCAGAGAGATGGGGTCGTTCGGGCTCTTGCTGTGATTTGTGACGATGTTTCGGTCCTGGTTGCGACGTCGCACCGCAGGGACCGTCATCCGCCGCGCCCTCTGGGCCGCAGGAGGTCGGGCCCTTCTCATAGCAGGCCTAGCCCTTCCTCTCTCCGCTCCCCCATCCTTCTCCTGCCCCCTCTTGGGGTGTGGGCCCCTGTGGCCGTTGTGAGGCTGAGGCCCTGCTGGGGGCGCGCGGCCGCACGCTGCGTGGATGCGCCGCGAGGCCTGGCCAAAGGGGCCGGGTCGGGGTCGAGTGCCCATTGTTGAATTCAGCTTTTCCTATCTGGCGCTGCCCAGCGCTGGTCGTGGCGGATTCCGTGGCTGTGCTCGTGCGGGCAACTTCAAAGCACAGCCGGAGCGGTGCCATCCATTTCTCGCCGGGGCCCGTGATGGGGGCACCGTGACTGGCTGCTTGCGGTGATGGCTGTATGGGAAAAGTGATCAGGGGCCACGCGCTCGCACACGCCTGTCTATTCCAGAGGCTGGCGCCATTCCGCGACCCCCCGAAGAGAGAAGAAGTCCGCGGTGAGGCATTTGGGGGCCTCTTGTGGGCCGCTTGAGGCCTCTTCGGGACTCTTGGGGGTCTCTTGGGCGCCTGCTGGTGGTCTCGGGGGTTCTCTTGGGGCGGAGGGCTTGGAATGTCAGTTTGAGTGACCTCTCTTGAGCCCCTCTTGGGGCCCTGTCGAGGCTCTCTTGGGCCATCTTGGGTGCCTCTTGGGCCATCTCGGGACCCTCTTCGGCCGGGCCCCACTCGCTCGCGCGAGCCTGTCTATTGTTTTTCCCTCTCTTTTCTGTCTCGTGCCGTTCCTTGCTCCTCTCTACCCGATTGGCGTCGTGCGGGCGATGTTTCTTCTTGAATTCGTTACTCCATGTTCCGCCACTTTCTCGACCGAGTGCCCTTTCAAGTGCCATCGTGTCTAACTGTTGTCGTGTGGTTATGTGGAGGATTGTCCGTCAAAGAATGGCCTCTTCACAGTGCTCGATGCGTCTCTACTGTAGCATACGCGATTTCAGTTTCTGGGGGGTCGTGGGCGTCGCGTGTTACGAGCCACGACACGACCGGCGAGCAACGTGCCCCAAATTTCTCGTGGCAAGACTGTTTATGTACCGCCTATTCGCGGTAAGTTGTAATGCCGCTGTGGATCCTAACCTCTGGACGTCCACGGGGGTCCGTGGAGGTCCCCAGCGGCCCGCAACAGGTCAAGAACGTCCAACCTCATTCCGTAGCCATTCTGGCCCAAGACGGCTCACGAGGGCCCCTTTCGAATTTCGGCGTCGCAGTCTCGGCGTCTAACTTGCACGCCCCTGCAAGCCATGATGATGCCAGGTCCTGTGGTGCCGTTGGCGGGCGGCGATGCGTTCCATTACCAGGGTCCTGGCGATCAGATGTCCAAGTGCGTGCTCCTTGGCGCATACATCTTCATGATTGTTGCCAACGCCGTTTCGGCCCTGAGCGGCGGCAGCGGTTCGACCATCGGCGATGTCTCGGACGCGTTTCCGACATACATAACGCCTGACGGCACGACCTTCGCTATCTGGGGCGTGATCTACTTGATGTGGTTGGTGTTCGTCGTTGCTCAGTTCGGTATTGGCGTCTGCCCATGCTTCGATGGCAGCTGGATGTATATGGGCAACGGGATTCGTTACCTAATTTCGGTCGCTTTTGCCTTGAACGGTGTGTGGTTGCCACTGTACACCATGAAGCTGTTCTGGGCCGCGCTCATCGTCATCGCTGCGTACCTCGTGGTGCTCGTTGTGTGTATAGTGGCAGTGAATGGGCGGACAGTCGTTCGACCAGGCTTTCCATGCAGCGGCATCATCCAATACGTGTGCTTCGCAGCGCCCATCACTCTGAACGCCGCGTGGCTTGTGGTGGCAACTGCCGCGAACTTCTTCACGGTGTTCGGCCAGTTGGGTTGGAAGGATGTGTACGGTGTTGCCGGCAGCCCGCAAGCGGCTATGCTCGTCGTCCTTCTTGCCACGAGCTTGGCCATAGCCGTGGCCATCGGAGCCTATGATGCGGCGTGGCCGCTGGCCACCGCTTGGGCGCTGCTTGGCTTGTACAGGATGCATTCGCCGCCCGGAGATGGAGAGCTCGGATTCCCAGATGAAGCGATGAATTCTATGCTTGCGTCGTCTGCGCTGTGCGGCTCTATCGTCAGTTTTCTTGCCGCTTGGGCTGGTGGGATTCTCATGGCTTTCGCCCTAAGCGGTTGCTGCTTTTTCGCAGGAAGCCAGCACTATCCAGGACCTGGGTGTGAGATCCCGACGGCCGCACCCTACAGTCATCCGATGGCGAGCTCCATGTACCGGCCAGGGCCAATTTTTTGATTCGCCCATGCGGCCGTGAAGAATTGTTCGAAGATCGTGTGCCCGCGGAAGTCCATTCCGAAAGATTGTTGGCCTACGATCTGCTGAAAGTTTCTTGGTGTTCATCGGGGGTCCATCCAGCACTGAACACTGTGGAGTCAGAGTCCTGACCCTCCTCGCTGGCTTCCCACCCCGACATCCCTACAATTTTCTGTTAGAGTCACATGCTCAAGTTGCCAAAGTATAAGCAACATCTACACTGTATGTTTACGACATTCGTTTTTACCTGTGTCTCTCTGGCTCTGCCTGTCTCTGCACTCCCCATTCGTGAGAAGTTGCGCACGGGGCAGAGGCAGATCTGGAACACAGCAGCAACCAGAGGCGGAAGCGTGGTCTCCGAGAGAAGGACCAGCAGCGTCCAGAATCCTCGATCCTTGAGCTTCGACGGCATGATGTACAGTCAACCCGCATGGTAAGGATGGGCACCCCTTCCCAAGGGTACCCTTGCATCCTTGCCTCCTCGGTCACTCCTTGGCCACTTTCGTTGGCCGCCTCCCGCCCGAACAGTTTCGTTGTGGGCTTGCAAGGCCCTTACATCCTTATCGCGCATCCTGATGACACGGGCCGACTTTAGTAACTCCCTGCTGCACGTATTTTGTCGTGACCGATGTGCCGTCGTCGTTCGGCGGCGCGCCAAGGGGGGTAAGAATTATGATTTTTTAACACTTTGTTTTAGCGTTGATCGCCAGTGAGACTTTCGAGCATCAAGACAGTACCGACACAGGAGGGTTTCCCTGAGAGGCGATACTCGTTCGACACTTCGCCAGCATGTCGGCCAGACACTGGTTCGATACTTGTCTGGGTGCTCGACGTGCGTTCTGGGATGCGGCCCTCAAGTGCCATAGGAACAGCATAAAGGGAAGAGAGGGCGGGCCTCCCCAGAGGGCTCAGAGGCCTCCGGCCTTCTCCGAGAGGCTCTCCGAGCCATCTCGCCGAAGCCACAGAGGGCTGCGCAGAATCACCGAGCGCGTTCCACTGCTCGCAAGGTGCCGACTCGTAAACGTCCGAAACAAAAACACATGCCTGCACCGATGTATGATGCCATGGCGATGTCGTGGGCCGTTTTCGGTTCGACTTCGTTTTGCGGTAAGGGCGGATTGAAGACAAAGCGAGGGAAAACGAGACCAAAACGAAAACGAAAAACACCGTTTAGGTTTAGCCCTGTATGATGTATTGTCAATCCCCCACGGGCGGATCAAGGTCATTTGCGAGCAGGTACTTTTGCGAGTCGTTGAGAGCGCGCTCGTCGACAGGAGGCCCGGGGGGGCTTCTGGGGAGCCCCGCCGCCCTCTGAGGAGGCTTGCCCCCCCCCTCGGACTTCATTCGTGAGGCGCGCCGCCGAGGAGGATGAGGAGTAGGAGGAGGAGGAGGAGGAGGAGGAGGAGGAGGAGGAGGAGGAGCAGAAGGAGGAGGAGGAGCAGCAGGAGGAGGAGGGAGGAGGAGGAGGAGGAGAGGAGGGAGGAGGAGGGAGGAGGAGGAGAAGGAGGGGCAGGCCGAATCCCCGCCGAAGCGGCACCCCGCGGCCCATGGGCGGCCGCGGGCCCCTCCCCCGGTGGCCGAGGCGGCCGCCGCTCGCCCTGCGAGCTCTGGGGGACCCCTGGCGTGGAGGGCCTCTCGGCGCCCCTCCTCCTCCCGCAGGCAAACCTGCCGCCGCGTTCGCGCAGCGGCGCGGGGCCTCGGGGCGAAGTCCTGGGGAACACATGATGGCACAGACGCCTCCTCCTCCTCCTCCTCCTCCTCCTTCCTCCTCCTCCTCCTCCTCCTCTCTCCTCTCCTCCTCCTCCTCCTCCTCCTCCTCCTCCTCCTCCTCCTCCTCCTCCTCCTCCTCCTCCTCCTCCTCCCCTGCTCCTCCTCCCCTGCTTCTCCTCCTCCTCCTTCTCCTCCTCCTCCTTCCTCCTCCTCCTCCTCCTCCTCCTCCTCCTCCTCCTCCTCCTCCTCCTCCTCCTCCTCCTCCTCCTCCTCCTCCTCCTCCTCCTCCTCCTCCTCCTCCTCCCCCTCAGACTCGGATTCGCGAAGGCGAGGCGAAGTTAGACTCTCATCTCCCCCTCCTCGCTTCACTCACTGTGCGCGCGCGTGCGCCCTCCAGCAGGTCCGTCGCATCTCGGGAGCGGGGTCGGTTGCCAGAAGCGCGTCGATAGTGACGCCGAGGGTTGAGAGTAGGGCTTGGAGCGGCCGGCGAGACTCGTCGCATGGCCAATGGGAAAAAGAGGAGGGTCAGGAGTGGGATCTAACATGTGAGCGACGCAAAACGGCGGGGTCGTTTGAGCCGACATTGGCGCGTAAGTTGCCCGCGAAAGGTCGCGCAGGAGCGCCCTCGTCTCCAGCGCAGCGTGCCGCCGCGTGAGGTCCCTACGCCATCTCGCGCGAGACGAGACCCGTTTTTAAACCGTCGCTCATGTGCTCGAGCTTCCCGGCTTGCTCCACGCGCCAGGGAGGGAGGTGCAGCGCCGATCCAATAACTCCGCGCTGACCTCCGAGGTTGATGTATTTGCCGCCCTTCTTCCTCGGAAGCTGTTCTGCTTTTCCCGGGCTCCCGGCTTGGCATCGCTCGGAAGTGTGCATTATTTCTCGGGCGACGACCATCGAGGAGCATCTTGGACCCTCTTGCGAAAACTACACACGCGACCTACATTGAACACGTCACGAGTAATGGACGTCCGAGCGGTGGTGAGCTGGGGGCCACCTCGTAGCCACGGCCGTGCGCAGCTCGAGCAGCTGGTCAGGCCAGCGCCCGCGAGGAGGATCGCGGCGGCGACGGTGCAAGGGCGGGGAGTCCGGTGGCGCTGGGGCAAGACGTGCAGGAACGTTTGCTCAGCGTGCCGCGACGCTGGTTCTGGGCCACCACGCTTCGGGGCGGCACGCGGAGCACGTCCCGGGAGCGGCACGCCATCCGCTCGCAGGCATGGCGTGTCGCCGGGGCCGCCGCTGCGACACGGCAAGTAATCGCTCCCGACCGCAAGCGGGGGGCGGGATGCAGGACGGTCGGCGAGTGGCCCTGAGGGGGACTCTGGACGGCCCCAAGACATTCCAACCGTGACCCACAAGGTGTTGGGAACCCAGACCCCCGACGTCATGATTTTTCGTAAGGTCGACCCCCAGAAGTCTCGACCCATTCGCCTGGACCGATTTTTCATCCTGAGCCGTTTTTTGACGGTCCCGAGGCCCAGGAAGGGCCCCCAGAGGTCCAAAACAGCCAAAAACCTCCCGAGGGGTCTGGGAAGGAGCACGCCCAAGGAGAAGACTGGGGGCGTGGACGGGGAGCGACGGTTGATGGAGGATGCCTCACAGCGTGCAAGGTCCGTACAGGGCTGCTCGCTCATCGCCCGGCCCTGCCGAACGTCCACCTCCGCGCTTTCCCCCTGTTCCAGACGTCCGAAGTCGTGGTTGTTCCGTGGCGGGTCGCCAGTGACCCTCCTCCTCCTCCTCCTCCTCCTCCTCCTCCTCCTCCTCCTCCTCCTGCTCCTCTCTTTCCTCCCCTCCTCCTCTTCCTCCTCCTCCTCTTTCTTCTCCTCTTTCTCCTCCTCCTCGTCCTCCTCCTTCTCCTCCTCCTCCTCCTTCCCTTCCTCCTCCTCCCTCCTCTTCCTCCTCTCCTCCCACCTCCTCACCCTCCTCCCCTTCCCCTTCTTCTCCTCCCCCTCCTCCCCCTCCTCCTCCTTCGCCTTTTCCTCCCTCCTCCATCTCCCTCCTCATCCTCCTCCCTCCTCCTCATCCGTCCTCCTCCTCTTCCTCCTCCTCCTTATCCGTAAGGGCTTCGCCCCCTGCCGCCGGCCCCCTCTCTCGGAGAATGGGCCATGGAAGAGCTAAGTCATGAGGCCTTGGCGCTGTCGTGAAGCAGTATCGAAACTTCATGCGAAGCCGATTCGCAATCAGCAAAACCAACTGATCACAAGAGGGGTTACCACACCTGGCGATTGGTAAGACGTGTATGGTTTACGGGCTTGGTTACCACACCTTGCGATTAAAGGGCCGAGGGAGTTCTCGCAGTTTGGGTTACCACGCCTTGCGATGGATGTGCGTGAAGGGTGGCACCGAATTTCAGAAATGTGCAAATCCCCTGTGTTTTTGGACCCTGACCCCGCGGATCTGCGTGAGGGGTGGCACCGAATTTCAGAAATGTAGCAAATCCCATGTGTTTTTGGACCCTGACCCCGCGGATCTGCGTGAGGGGTGGCACCGAATTTCAGAAATGTGGCAAATCCCATATGTTTTTGGACCCTGACCCCGCGGATCTGCGTGAGGGGTGGCACCGAATTTCAGAAATGTGCAAATCCCCTTGTGTTTTTGACCCTGACCCCGCGGATCTGCGTGAGGGGTGGCACCGAATTTCAGAAATGTAGCAAATCCCATGTGTTTTTGGACCCTGACCCCGCGGATCTGCGTGAGGGGTGGCACCGAATTTCACAAATGTGGCAAATCCCTTGTGTTTTTGGACCCTGACCCCGCGGATCTGCGTGAGGGGTGGCACCGAATTTCAGAAATGTGGCAAATCCCATGTGTTTTTGGACCCTGACCCCGCGGATCTGCGTGAGGGGTGTCGATTTCGAGCCCCCCCAGCAATTCAGACAACGCGCCCAGGAGGTGCTAAATATTTGGTTTGGGCCTCCCCCCCCTCGCGCGGTCAATCAACTAGTTACAGTAACCAGCAAGAAGCAGAACTGTAACACTGGAAACTACAAGCTACAACTGACACAGGAAACTGCGAACCCGCGCCTACAGCCTGGTGGCCCCACAAGGGGGCAGGCGGATCCTCCTCCTCCTCCTCCTCCTCCTCCTCCCTCCTCGTCCTGATCCTCCTCCTCCTCCTCCTCCTCCTCCTCCTCCTCCTCCTCCTCCCTCCTCGTCCTGATCCTCCTCCTCATTCTCCTTCGCCTCCTCCTCCTCCTCCTCCTTCTCCTCCTCCTCCCCACTGGACCGCTTTTCCCCCAGGTGCAGTCAAGACGTTGCAATAAGCAGTAGTTTGGGTTCGGAAGGGGCTCGATGCTTCTTACGTCCTTTCGTGGTCGTTCCTCTAGCCTTTCCTCGTGCAGGCAGGCGCTGTTGGGGGCCAGCAAGGGGCTGCGTTCCTTCTGCATCGTTCTTTAATCCGGCAGCCAGATTGTAATTTTGAAGTTAGATTTTGCCAGAAAGTTTTGTCTGTCGTTGTTGAAAGGTCTGGTGGATCCAGCATCGAGCCGAGGTCCCCGAAGATGGGTCCCACAGGAGGTGGTCATGGACCAAGAGATCCGCACACGCGACACGCTAAGCAGAAGTTTGGGACCGCATCCAGAACAACGCCCTGCGGAGGAAGAGGAGGAGGAGGAGGAGGAGGAGGAGGAGGAGCGAAACGGAAGAGGCGGGATAAGGAGAAGGATGAGGAGGGAGGATGATAAGGAGGGAGGAGGCGAAGAGAGGAACGGCTAGGAGGAGGAAGAGGAAGGAAGGGAAGGAAGTAGGAGGAGGAGGAGAGAGGAAGGAGAGGAGAGGAGAAATAGAGGTGAAGAGTAAAGAGGAGAGAGAGAGGGAGGTGGAGAAGATAATAGAGAGAGTGCGTGGAATGTGGACGGATGGAGGGAGAGAGAGAGGAAAGGAGGAAAAAATAGATAGAGGAGAGAGAGGAGAGGAGAGATAAGTCCCTCCCTGTGGAGCGTCCCCAGGGATCTGGGGCAAATGCGCCCGCGCCCCAACAAAACACATCGCAACCCCCCCGCCGCCCTCTCGAGCGAACTGGTGCTGGTATCCCGACGCGCGCCCAGGCCCGAGGTGTGCTTGCTGGGCGCCGCGCGCGCGCAGACCAGGCGCGGTGAACAGGGCCCAGCGCCGAAACGAGCCCGATGTGGAGGGCTTCCCCCGGAGTAAGTCGCGACCCTCCTCCTCCTCCTCCTCCTCCTCCTCCCCTCCTCATCCTCGTGCTCCTCTCCAATCCTCCTCCTCCTCAATCTCCTCCCTCCTCCTCCACCTCCTGCTCCTGCTCCTCCTCCTCCTCCTCCTCCTCCTCCTCCTCCTCCTCCTCCACCTCCTCTTCCTCCTCATCCTCCTCCTCCTCCTCCTCCTCCTCCTCTTCCTCGGGTCACAGCGGGTTCTTGGCGACCTCGGTTTTTCGAGCAGGGGATCGACCCCAAAATCGATTTGCGCGTCGAATCCAAGAGAAATTTGCAGAATCCGAGATCTGGGAACAGTCATACGTATACTATCCGTAGATCTGCTGACGTTCTACGCACGTCTCGTGTATCCGACGAACCGAGCAATTTTGGGGTAAATCCATTCTGCAGTCCATTCTGCAGTCGGAGGTTTTGGGAGGTGTTCGTCGGCTCTTGGATGTCTTCTCGTCCTGGGGGTTCCCTCCAGCAGCTGCGCCTCGCCGAGAGGGTGCCAGAAGTCGGCATCGTCCCGAGCGGCCGCCGGAGGCCCGAGCTGTGGCCGGAGGCCCCAGCGCAGGTTCGCGTTTTGAGCTGCCGCGGCGGCGGCCCCGCGGCGGAAGGAGTGCAGAAGGTCCCGCGCGTCTCCAGCGGCCCAGAGAGTCGGCCCCACGTGGGACGCTCTGGCGATTGGAATGCCGCTGATCATTCAAGTCAGGCGATCGCAGACATGGATCAAGGGGGCGTGGATCAGCGTCGGGCCGCGTTTCAATGGGGAATCGCGGATGTCCGCCGCCGAACGAGGCGGCACCGGCCGCATTTGGGGGATGGCATCTCCCGATCCATGGATTTGGCGACCGCGCACCAAATCCATGGATCGCTAATCCATGTTTGCGCGCCTCCGATCAAGGTGGAACGACTTACGTGGGGCGTTCAAAAGAAAGGGCCTTGCCTTCTAGGATCGTAGGAGTTGCCATCTCTTCCCCTGCGGAAGGCGGCAGAAGGTCGGCGGAAGTAAAACGAGGCCGCTTCCGCCGGCGGAATCCGGCGGAAAGCGGCGAAAGTAAGATTGCGCCTCGAAGAGGTGAAATCGTTTTTGGGTTCAGGGTTTCCGGAGTCGCCCACGTGGTGTCAGAAACCGACGGCGGGGTCGTCACGACACGAACCTGCCGCAGCTGGAACACTAAGTATGTGAAGGAGGTTCCCTACATGCGGGCTGCGGGTTCTGATGGGGTCGCTCGCTCGAGGGAGAGCCACTAGAGGCTCCTGCTTCCCGGCTCGTGTTCCTCTGCGCCCTCCGCCTTCGGGGCACGATCCCTGAGGAACAGTTGGATCTGCCGATGCCTGGTGCGGTCTGGCGTGGCCTCCCTGGACGGGGCAGGCGGCGTTGTTGGGACTGGCGTTTTGCCAATGGCCGACGCAAACTAAACCCGGCCTCCCTGGACGTGGCAGGGGGTGTCGGTGGGACTGGTGATGGAGTGGGAAGGACACGCTGCCTGAAGAATAATCGGGTTCGCCCATAGGCCAGCGCGGCGGTCTGGATCGATGGTCCCAGGACGCGTGTGCACCCGTTGTGTGCTGTGTTTGGTCCGCCCCACCGATGGCACGCAGCCTGCACTGGCCCTTGTTATACCGCCTGCGTCGTGTTAAGCACACGTTGGCTATGTACAATCACACCTGGGGGCGGGGGGGGGATCCTGCTCCTCCGATGTGTGGTGGTGGGCCGCATGATTTGCAGGACCTTTGCTCTGGGTCGTCCCCTGAAGGCCAGTGCGGGCGCCATTCCCGCGACTGGCAAGGATCAGGAGGAAGGAGTAGTAGCAGTAGTAGTAGTGGTAGTGATAGTAGTAGTAGTAGTAGTAGTAGTAGTAGTAGTAGTAGTAGTAGTAGTAGTAGTAGTATTAGTAGTAGTAGTAGTAGTAGTAGTAGTAGTAGTAGTAGTAGTAGCAGT